GAAAAATTTAATACAAACTCTATGATTCTGAAACTATCACTTCTTTTCACGTGTATTAACGTTCATATATTACACTAATTTGACGAAATAATTTCAAAAAGACGCTCGTAAATAATAATATTCATCTGGATTAATACCTATCTAATAAAAACATATATTGCACATATATAAGTCACTTAAATATCTATAATATGTACGAGGTTACTGCGCAATTACGTATTAAAACGAACACTAATTAACCAGTATAATTTTATTTGTACATATGTTTGAGTCATTTAAATTATTTCATAACTATAATCGATATTTCGTCCTACTTGCAAATCAAATGGATAATATCAACAATATTTAAAGAAAAGACCAGGTCATCATATGTCCACGATCGATACTCCTTGTTGTTTTAGATGAACTATAAAGTTAATATAATTGAATATTTTCTAGCAGCGAACGAAGACGAATCATTCTTTCAACGACAGGAACATCATGAAATAGGACATGCACGCTTTAATAGCCTAAAAATTAAAGAACTCGGTTTACCAATGAGTAGCTTCTATTATTAGGTTATCACATAAGTTCGTGTCGAATTTTATAATTTACATCAATATTTCCAACGAACTTTTTTTGATAAAAATGAAAACGTAAGCCCCTTCTCGTTCCACAACTTTTTCCTATTTGTTTTTTTTTGTTTTTTCTTTTTGGTAAGACCATTGTGTCGTCACTATAGAATTTCCTTGGATTTTCATTCAAATATTTTTCGCTTTCGGCACGAACTTATAGGATGACCTAATATTAGAACACAGATACTTCACTAATTTATCATATTATTACATACTATTCCGAAACTCTCGATGTTCATCTCATGCACTCCTCCTGCTGTTAATATACATGGCCGTATGGACCTCATTTGCATCGTGTAAATCAACTTTTGCCCTTTTACCGGTAGTTCGTACCATTTAGAAGCGTAACTGTCGCAACAAATCTATAAGTTTTGGCTACTACTGAAATTAACAAGAGAAAGAAAGTATCAGAAGCTTACATTATATCGGCCAATCCTAAACTATGATCTAACAACATTTGCCCAGGTAAACTAAGGATGAGCAAATGAAATTTCTGAGCTACGACAAACATCGCAAGCCTGATGAGTTCGTCAGGTCGGTCGATGTTCATAATGCACTGGAAAATAAAATCGGCGATGCGTATTTGTCTTTTTTAATCGCTCGTACAAATATAATATTACTGGCAGGTAGAAATACAATTGTCCCTTGGTTTTGCACGGTTTTCAAAACGAGTTTCCTGTCACATTTTCTTTTTTTATGCGAAAAACTACTGTGCAAGTGAAATCTTTCAGTAAAAGGCTTTGCTTTTGCTTCTTTTGTTTTGCAAACGATACGTAAACGCGTGAGAGTAATTTGAACCGATCGAAGAGGTAAAAAGGTGAAAGTGAAATGAAAATTTTTACTGTCTCGCAGAAGTGAAAATTTTCAGTTTGTTCATTTTAACGTTTAAATCGTTTATCATTTCAACTATATCAATTTCCAACGTTTATCGTGTTTATAGATTTGGAGGGGAAATAAATGTCTGCAAGGAATACTGGCACTTTCATCATTTTCAACCGCACCGAAAACGGCACTTACGATTTTATTAGATTCATATACCTACTATTTTAAAAACTTTTCTTCCACAATATTGTTAATGTAACGAACCATCGTTCAATTTTACATTATTAATCTTCCTAGCACAGGATTTTTTATCAGTTTTTCTAAAATTCATTTTAGCAATCTGAGAGAATCAGGGGACAAGTGTACACACTGTAAGAGAAATATTCTCACTGCGGCAGCCGTCACGCTGATGATGAACACGCTTAATCCTACTTGAATCAGGTACATATGTTGGCTACTTCTTTCCAGAATCTGGCAGTATCTTGAAACGTAATAATAAAATGAGTTAATTGATGTCAGATGATCCATACTGTTCTCAGATAACACACGACGTCTTAGAGATGTCCAATTTACGTCCATTTTTGATCTGAACGTTTTACGACATGATCTGGACGTCTTTCAAGTACGAATCGATACGCCCTAGCAACGTATAAAAATTACGCTTTTAAGACGTTTCTAATGACAGTGCATAGTGTTTCGCAGCGCCACGTTTCAAAGACATCTTAATTTGTAACACTGAACGTTATTTAGACGTCTTTAAGACGTTCACAAGACGTCTGTGTGCTATCCGGGTCCATTGTTACTGTGAAACTTTCGATACAGACTGAAGGGCTTCGTGATGCATTGTCACACATTGTTTGAACTGTTTGTAACCAGCCTCGCTTTTCTTGGTTTCGTCTTTGTTCACGATGTTCATCTCTGTTGTTACTTGAATTCGATGTCTGTACACACACACACACACACATATATATATATGTATAAAGATAATCAGCACACCTTGTCAAAAAATTAATGATGCATTATTTCTTCCGGTTATCATATTTACCCACACACTGCGAACAATCCGCAAAGGTGAAAAATGATAGTAATGTATAACATATCCACGGCGATTATCATCATCCCGCAGGAAATCACGCTGGTGTATAGGTGAAAATTCACGCTATAAAAATGCTCGTACTCGTCTATGAATATGTAACTAACTGGGAGCAAAAGCCTACGGGGTCGGGTCTCGTTTAACGGCGCAACAACATCCAAAACCGGATTTATCAATGGAAAGCTCATATATACTAACAGAACTATCCACAACGAGTCTGAAAAAATTAATTTTTGTCTGACAATTTCGTACAGGGAATAATAATTATTATTGAAGGACTAGTTGACACGTGCTCTACCGCGGTTCTATTGAAAAATTCCCTCCTATCCTTCGTATTATTTTTGTTTACATTCATAATATTATTAGTAGTATATTAATAGTATTATAGTCGGTGGAAGAAATATAGAGAGCTCGTAAAATCGATCAGGCGTCAAAGTAAACATGTTTCAGGTGCTCTAATAGAGGAATTGACAGAAGTATGAGAAGATAAGCACAGAAAGAAACTTCAAATATTAAAAATGCTAATTGGCATTTTTCATTTGTCCGATAGTACATGAAATACCGTTAGCTTTCAGTTGTCACCTTTTTATTGTACGGACCCTAAAACAGAATGCCGTATGTAGTGTAGATCAAGCTGTGCCGCCATTTGATGCTTTAAGCGGTCTCGCTATCTTACTTCCACAGACTATACATGTACAGTATTGCCGCGTTAGCTGGCCAGGATTTCCCTTTTCTAACTGACCGTCGCTATCCCTACTAATTGAGCCGTTTAATACGAAAGTGGTGTAAGTGAAAAAAGTTGATTTCTGAATAATGAGGGACAATGTAAAAGTTCTGTAAAATTCAATAATATGAAAGAATGTTACATCTCTTTTATGTAAGCCATTGTACAGTTATGCCTTAAGATAATAATTCCATTTTGCCCCAAAAATCAAGATATATGTATAATCATTTTATTTAATATTCTTTTGACTTACACCATTTTCGCGCGCAAAACAGCTTTCGAAATGTGGTGTTAAGTCAAATAGGCAAAAAATTGACTTACGCCACTTTTGCATTAAACGGCTCAGTTCTTGGAACTGGCTTCGTAGAGTGGACCTTCAGGGTTAGGGTATGTGTCCATTTGGGAGTAAAATTATCGCGAGTTAAAATTATCGAGAGTCAAATTTATGAATGTCCACGGTATTAAGGGTGCAGATGGAGAGCTCGGAGAACTCGAGAGAAGCTATCGTGAAAATCTCTCAGATGGACAGGTACCCTTAACTATCCTAAACTAAACAAAGACTTTTCGTATCAGGTATATGTATATCTGTATCCCACGCGCATTCAATGGAGAAGAAACATACTAATAGAGATTTCCTGAAATACTACCACCCTTGATTGTTGACCATATGTGGTCCCGAGCCGCGGTCAATTAATGCGATAATAGTGTACTATGCAGAGATGAGAAGTTGGCTAACGCAAGAAATATGGTTCTGATTGGGTCATATCCCCATAGGTCCATCTTCTCTAACACAATCGTAGAAATGGGGCACACGTATAGTCATTATAGGCCAACATGATAGCACCGACGGGAATAAAATTTCGTGACGGAAGAGTCATGTGGTGCGGAGAATTCTCGCGTCACACATATGTGACGCTGGTAGGGAACTTGTTAAGTATCGTAAGAAAATCGCTTACCTTTGTACAGTTCTCTAAGTCTCATCCCTTTACTGGTGTATTTCTTCAGTATCTCTATTTCGTCCTTTGCTTCCAACAGTTTCCATCTTCGTACCATGAGATCGAATAATTTTCGAAACTACTAATACGTTCGATCATTACGATTTTTTCACAAACGAAGATTCCCTTTTCTTTTTTTGCAACAATGTATATACATACGTTCGCTTTGTTGATACGGATGTTCATTACTTTAACGAGGGCGCCAGTCTGGGCGATAATGTTCGGGAGTACCTGCATGACCCCATCGAAATCCTTCTCGCGCTGGGCCACGTAGATCTTTAGAAACTATCGAATCGTATGTCTCGACCGTGTCACAATATTATTATATTCGGTATTTGTTACTTTGCTTTGTTCTTATCAAACCACGTATCAATCTTTTGATCGTACTATTACTTCGTTTGCATTCGTGTTAATTATCGTGAAAAGTGACATAACGTGTTTCTCTTACCATTGGACTCATTACGGACACGCAAAGGAACATTGCAGTGGACTGCAGGGCAATACCAGCTCGTTTATCTTGATACGGATTTATGCCAAGGATGTTCATATAACTTTTCATTGATTTATAGTAGATCATACTGAATACGTTATAGGCTTGCTTGCTCTTCTTCTGAAACACTGAATACATTGCAATTTAACCGTCTGTAGGTAATCTGGGTCTTTGATGATCCAAGTGAAATTTCACTCCCGTATTTCTTCGAAACGAATTTTTATTTCTATTAAAAAAAGTTTCAACATTTGACTTAACGAACAATTGTGTAATGCAGTAGAAACTTTGATAAGTACAGCAGAATTTTTTCAGATTTTTTGAAAGTTTGGAACAGTAAAAAAATCAGACTTGGACACAAACTACTCAGTTTGCCTACAAAGGGTTAAGTGAGAGATTCGAGTGTGTCTTTGAAAGAGGAAGAGTTGCGCATTGTTTCGAACGTTGGAAAATGCTGTACTATGATAATTGAAAAAATTAAAGGTAACTTATCGAAGAATTGTGAAGAGTTATCCTATATGTTGTACGACACATTTAAAAGCGTTCTTCACTTTTTCCTCTTACTATTCATATTTTCAAGTTCTGCAGCGGTTTTTAATGAAACTGATCCGCTGAACGTATGGAAATTGTATTTTACAGAGCTGAGGAGGCGATGATATTAAGTCAATCGACCGAACGTTGCATGCTACAACAGCGGAAATGTACAATTTTGGCCATCAAGTACATACACGGATTCTTTGATTATCGGACAGGTGCTTATTACCACGAAATTGTTTCAATATGGGCACCGTACGACAATTGCGTTGGTAATAAGAAAATGACTGTACTGATATGTACAGCGGTGATTACTAGATGTGCAGTGGATTGTTAAATCATCGATATTTTGAATTATTGAACAAACGTTCGTTTCAATAGGACGTACCTTTGAAAATCTGAGAAATTGTAAATGGTTTTCGAATGATGTATCATTAGAAAGATTTGAACACGTACAAGATTCCATATCGTATGCAAGATTGTTGAATGTAAGTGCTCTTCGGGGAAGTCTTCCTTCCAACTCTCGTTCTCTATAGGAATAATACTGCTTCATGCTTCATGTGTTACTTTTAGATTAATTTTATCCATACTTGTACATTCTAAAATCTTTGTAACAGAAAGTGTTGATATTTGGCAATTTTTGGTCACTTTTGTTAAATTTTTGATAACACTGAAGGTATATTGAATTTTGCAAAAATAGACTTGTGTTGTTTTTATTGCTCTTCAAAGGAGTTACTGGAATAATTAGATTATCCAAACATTCAGATCTCGATAACAGTGAAATTTTAACAAATGTAGAAACTTATAAGAACTAAATTTTGATGAAATTAAATCGCCAAGTGTTTGAATATATTGTGTAACAGTTGTGTGATAGATAGAAAAATAATGTCTGAGTACAAATCTGTAAAAGTTCTTATTTGGTAAAGAAATAATTTTCATTGAATTGAACTTACGAGGACTAACTAATAGGAATAAGGAATCAAAGAAAAGAATTCTTCTTCATCAAGAAGTTCAGTGTAGAAAGGTGATAGATCAGAGAAAATCGAGAATCTATGGAGATCTAAAGAAAGATACAGTGAACGTAGATGAAAATGATGTTAAAATGAAAGGAGAAAAACTTTCATCGGTATTTAGGACCACAATCCGTTCCAAATTACAATTTACGTCAGTTCAAATATTTTCTCGCCTCTGTTTTAAATTTTGTGTGGTGTTTAAAGAATTGATGATGCTCCACTCTGTTATTTTGGCAAGATCCGTAATACCAAATTCCGCGTTAACATGCATGAAACAATATTTAGCGGAAAATGTAGTCCCATTAACTTTATTTGCACGTTCGATAAATTCGTTTGTATTATTCAACAGTAACAATACATATTAACTATTTGCTCTATCATTTGTATTTTCGGTAAGTCCAAATACCGAATATAATATACGAGCTTATGATTAGATATTTTCGACGGGAAGTGGACGATTATTCCCTAAATGACATCAGCATTGTGAAGTACGACATGCACGTTTTGAATGTCTGAAAATGAAATGTTATCGTTAATAAAAGTTAATCCGACAGATGTAGACAGGATATCTGTACAATGTTACGAACGTTTGCAAAGTTCTCCATGTTCATTTCGTACAATCCACCTGCAGTCAAAATACACGGCTTTAGAGCCCTTATTTGCATCATGTAAATTACTCGTTGAAATTTTGCCGATACCTTATACCACGTGGAAGAGTATCTGTAAAGAATATCGGTAAAATATTACTCTCTAGTACATACTTGTTGAGATTATTTGCGTTACTAAACGTACATATCGTTCGTTAGCATGGTACAATGATCCACGAGTGTCTGTCCAGGTAAGCTAATGATGAACAAATGAAATTGCGCACCTCCAAGAACCACAGAATATCTAATAGCTTCGCTCGGTCTATCCAGGGCGAGCATTATCTGGAAAGAAAGGTTACCGCGTTTTAAATTGAATTTTTTACCACGTTCTGCGTTCTCTCACTCGTTAAATTGTTCTTGCCTGCACAGCAGTCACGCTGATGCTCATCATGCTCAATCCAACCTGAAGCAAGTAGCTGTTTCGACTGCTCTCGTTTAGAATATCGTAAAACCTGGAAATGTAACAAAAGCACAAGTTAGTCGGTTTCAATAATCGGGCTAATTATTCATTATACTTTATTATTGTCATTATTTGATCAGTGCAAACTTGATAGCTTTATCGTGCATAGTCACGCATCGTTTGAACTGTTCGTGTGTATGATTTTGAGAAATGTTACTGTTGTCGATTGAGTCCACAAATTCTGTTGCTTTTTTCACTTGGTAGCTGCAAATCAAGCAGATGAATGTATTGAATATTCCAACCGTTTCAGAAAATTATATATAAATGTTCCCTTTGATATCGTTATATTTACCCGCATATAGCGAACATTCCGCTGGCATGGTAAATTATGATCATGTACAATGAATCTACGGTGATAATGGCCATTACAAGAACGATTGTACACCAAAACAATTGAATATACACGTAGAAAAAATAGTCTGCTTGGTCGAAAATTATATAGTTAACTCTGAACAGTTGTTGCCGTGGCCTAGTTTCATTTGATGGAAGGACGATGTCCAGGGCTGGACCAAACAATGGGACCAGCAAGAAAACACACATTGCGAAGAGTAAAGCATCTAAGGAAAATACGATGGAACTTTCGCGTAATATGCGAAATGATAAGTCATTGAACTGAAAATGTTTCTGTCCTTTGTTGTAATATATAGAAGCATACTAATCGGAAATCATGAAAAGATACTCACTTCTGTATAATTGGGCCAATTTACTACCTTTCAAAGTAACCTCTTGAAGCACATGCACCTCGTCGTTCATCCTCAACTGCTCCCACTCTATTGTCACGAGATTATACATTTTTCTAAACTATAATATGACACGTTTTTACGATTGTTGTAAATAAGAGAAAACCATGTTTTCTATAATAAAGAAGGCACGTACATTTTCCCTGTTTAAGTAAACGTTCAACAATTTCACCAGGCTGGTCGCGGCAGCAATAGTATTCGCAAAACTCTCCATCATATCGTCCATATTCTTCTTACGCAATTGCACATACATCTCGATCAACTGTTGAACCCCAGTTTCCAGTTTGGGTTTAACAACATTACCTGATTATTGGCTTTGATGCGCGGTATTCGATAGACTCAGATTAAGTATTTGCTTTACCTGATTACAGGATGCGTGCATATTCAATGTCAACACGTTAACAGCGCTAACTTTATTGTACATTGTTACTTTTACTGTTCAAAATTATTTATTCGATCCACTTGTTGAAAGTGTTTCAAGGAATTTCGGCGGTACTGTTTTGAAAATTCGCGCGAATAATCGTACAAGAGAAATATGCCGGTCAACGTGTTAATATTTTCTAAAAAAAAGCATTCGATACATCTTACCGATGGAATAGCCATACTTAATAGGGTGAACGTCATTAGAAGAACAATAACACTCTTGGTTGTTTCCGTTTGATACGGATGTTGTCCCAAAAATAGCAATAATTTTTCAAGCGGTTGGTAATCCGGTATGTCAAATATTTCGTAATTTTGTCTTTTGTTTGTCTGAAATGCTGAGTGGCCCTATGCTTAGATAAGAATTTGTCAAGAGAACGTGTATGTATAATTAGTGCAATCTCTTACTAGCCATATTTACAGGTTCTTGGTATAGCGACGTTTCAAATTATACAGCATATGTAACAACAAACGTTTCAACAAGACTGTTCTGCCGCTAGTATAATAGTTGTGCTTTATAAAAGCAGGGGAGAAGTGACGTTGAAACGATCGAGCGAAATGTAGGTACACCTGGCACATAACACATAAATGTCAATTTGAAATTTCTTTGATTCGGACAGGTGTGTATTATGACGTCGTTTTTAAACAATGACTATGTAGGACAGCTGCGGTGTAGATAAGAATTAGACGGTACAGAGATTTCTGGGTTGTTAACGAATTGTGCAGTGTATTGAAAATCCATGGATATTTTGAATTATTGAACATGCATGCTTTTCAATCCGACATGCTGTTGGAAGATATGAGGGTGTGATAAAGGGTTTACAAACGACTGGTAAATTATAATAGAATCCTCAGAACATTTAAATATTGAATGTGCTGATTTCGATCGTCCGCTAGAAAATGTTACAAATCACAAAAGGCTTCTCGTTTGTCGAGTCATCCGAGTCTCTTGAATTTTTTAAACAATCCATGTCTCAACACGCAGGATTGTTAAATAGTCATAAGCGAAAGCGCTTTATTGAAGTCTTTCTTTCAAGTCTTGTTCTCTATTGAAACAATAGTGGTTTTTGCTTCAAGTTTTTATGGAAACATCGACGAGTTCGAATTGTAAGTCCGATAAACGATCTTGGTAGAATTCGTATTCTTTCTCGATTAATTTTACGCGTGTTGGAATCCGGGTTGCAAACGCGTTTACCAATTTGTGCTTAATCAAATTATTTTATTTCGGATGTTTCGAAATACAACTCCGAATACAACTGCTGCTTTGTTGCTTGAAGAAATACACGCCTTACTTGATCCTTGGATCGGAAAGAACAGACTAACTGGTGTACGAATGAACGAGGAAAAAGCCCTTTCCGCAATTTCGAGGAGTCTTTTATATTACCATTGTGTGGTGAAGAGAGAGTTTCTGTGTTCTTTACTCACAAAATGAATAATCGTCGGTAAGCCTAGGAATTCTACAAAAACAAGTGTGACTAATTTATTTTTCGGTGGTGTTAGCTCGGTTGCGCTTATCAGTGGGTGTGTCGGTTGGTTAGTCATCCAACACGCGTACACATTCTAACAAGGGAACATCCCGAAGTAATAATCAATAATTTTGATGAAACTTTGATTTAGGGGTGTAATGGTTTTAAAAGACATATTCTACACGTATTTTTTTGTATGAGTAATCGTCCACAGTGAAGAGGTGAAAATCGCCCACAGAGATGAAGGTAGTAAGTACGTTTAGTTTAATATCTGAAAAACTGTTAGAGATAGAGAAACATTAAGGGAATAATGTAATTTGAGGAATTTTGTATTTTTGAACAAAAAATTTGAAAAATAAAAAAGAATAAATAATTATGACCAAATACGTTTATTACCCTCATCTTTGAGGGTGATTTTTACTTCTTCAATGTGGACGATTGCCGATACAAAAGAAAAACCTGTGTCAAATATTTTTTTGGATACTACCATATACCAAAGTTTCATCAATATCAGTGATTATCACTTCGGAATAGTTTCTTGTAAGATCTTAATAATAGGAACTGTTGAATAAATTGTTTCAAGACTTTTCATTTCTTGGCAAAACTGAATGTTATGAAAAAGAAATTTATATCTTATTTATTGTTTTTCAAAAGAATTACTGGAACGCTGAAAGTATTCTTAGAGGAATGTGTAATTAATGAAATTAGAAGTTCATATCTCGTAAGAAAATCATTTTCTTTGAATGGTGTTTATAATAAGTTATTATATAAATAAAAATGATTTATCGTGCTCTTTAATTAAGATTCGAAATTACAGCTTACGTCATTTCAAATATTTTTTCATCTCTGTTTCAGATTTTTTGTGGCGTTCAAAAAATTCAAGATGTTCGACTGCGTTAGTTTGGAAAGATCTGTAACACCACTTCCGTGTTACAGCAATTACAAGTATTATACATTGCATACAATTACAATTATAAATACATAAATAACACCCAGTGAAAAATGTTGTTCCTCTATCTTTATTTGCACGTTCGATAAATTCGTTTGTACTATTCAACAATAACAATACGCACTGGCTATTTGTCCTATTTTGAGTAAATCCAGGTACGGAATATAATGTACAGGGTGTATCGAGTTATAATTCGATTGTTATTGGAGATAGAAAAAATTGTAGCAGTAAGTTTTGCATGGTTTAACACGCTGTATTATCCTGCAATTATACGGAAGTGCATCAGTGCAATTGCACTCGCTTTTTAAATGGTACTCTATCATCTTTTTCTATGAATCGATTCCTCGTGCTGTTCTGAATAAAAAAGTATTAGGGTACAATCGTGGAAATCCCACTACTTTTCGAAATACTTACCTCTTCCTTCCAGCATCCACAGTAAATGTTCAAATGTTCCACCATTGCATTCTAAACATTTTCATACACTTTTCATCATATTGTTTAGCTGTTCCTCTACAATTTGTTCCTATCTTCAATAACAACCGAGTTATAACTCAGTGCAGTTACTAGACACACCCTGTATACAGCTAGATATTTTCGACCGGAAGTGGACGATTATTCTCTAAGTGACATCAGCATTGTGAAGTATGACATGCACGTTTTGAATGTCTGAAAATGAAACGTTATCGTTAATAAAAGTTAATCCGACAGATGTAGATAGAATATCTGTACAATGTAACGAACGTTTGCAAAGTTCTCCATGTTCATTTCATACAATCCACCTGCAGTCAAAACACACGGCTTTAGAGCCCTTATTTGCATCGTGTAAATTACTCGCTGAAATTTTGCCGGTACTTTATACCACGTGGAAGAGTATCTGTAAAGAATATCGATAAAATAATTCGAGCACGTAAAATGTTTGGGATCATTGACGTTATTAAACGTACATATCCTTCGATAGTTTCGTACAATGATCCACGAGTGTCTGTCCAGGTAAGCTAATGATGAACAAATGAAATTGCTCCGCTACAAGGAACACAGCACATCTAAGAGCTTCTGCCGGCCTGTCCAGTGTGAGGACTGTCTGGAAGGAAAAGTTATCGAGTTATTAAATTAAATTTTTTCCAAAATGTTGCTTTATTTCACTGGTTAAATCGTTTTTGCCTGGACAGCGGTCACGCTAATGCCCATCATGTTCAATCCAACCTGAATCAAGTAGCTATTTCGACTGCTCTCGTTTAGAATATCGTAAAACCTGGAAATGTAACAAAAGCACAAGTTAGTCGGTTTCAATAATCGGGCTAATTATTCATTATACTTTATTATTGTCATTATTTGATCAGTACAAACTCGATAGCTTTATCGTGCGTAGTCACGCATCGTTTGAACTGTTCGTGCGTATGATTCTCAGAAATGTCATTGCCATAGATTGAGTCCTTATATTCTGTTGCTGTTTTCACTTGGTAGCTGCAAATCAAGCAGATGAATGTACTGAATATTCCAACCGTTTCAAAAAATGATGTATAAATGTTTTCCTTGATATCGTTACATTTACCCGCACACGGCGAACATTCCGCTGGCATGGTGAATTATTATCATGTACAACGAGTCTACGGTGATTATGATCATGACAACAACGACTGCACCCCAGGCCAATTGAAAGTACACGCTGAAGAAATAGTCCGCTTCGTCGAAATATAGATAGTTAACTCTGAATCCTTGCTGTCGTGGTCGAGTTTCATTTAACGGAAGGACGACATCCAAGAATGGAAAAACTAATGGGACCAGCAGGAAAACTACCATGAAGGACAGTAATGTATCTGAGAAGAACACGATCGATCCTTCGTGTGATAAACGAAATAACGAGGTACTTGAACGAAAATGTTTCTGCAGTTCGTTACAGCATATGAAAGTATATAAATCGAAATTCTTAAGACGATACCCACTTCTGTAGAATTGCGCGAGTTTACCACCTTGCATGGTAATGTCTTCAAGCACATGCAACTCGTCGTTCATCCTCAACTGCTCCCACTCTCTTGTCACAAGATCATACATTTTTTGAAACTATAATATGACACGTTTTTACGATTGTTGTAAATAAGAGAAAACCATGTTTTCTATAATAAAGAAGGCACGTACATTTTCCCTGTTTAAGTAAACGTTCAACAATTTCACCACGCTGGTCGCGGCTGCGATACCATTCGGCAAACACTCGATCACTGCGTCCATATTCTTCTCACAAAGTTGTACATATATCTCGATAAACTATTGAACCCCAATTTCCAGTTTAGGTTTAACAACATTACCTGATTATTTGCTTTGATACGCGGTATTCGATTGATTCAGATTAAGTACTTGCTTTGCGTGATTACAGAATGCGTGCATATTCAATATCAACACGTTAACGGCGCAAACTTTACCGTACATTGTTACGTTTGCTGTTCAAAATTATTTATTCGATCCACTTGTTGAAAGTGTTTCAAGAAGTTTCGGCGGTGCTGTTTTGAAAATTCGCGCGAATAATCGTACAAGAGAAGTATGCCGGTCAACGTGTTAATATTTTCTAGAAAAAAAAAAAAAAAAAGAACATTCGATACATTTTTCTTACCGTCGGAATAAGAATGCCTAACACACTAAGCACCATTACAAATACAATACTACCCCTGGTTCCATCTCTTTGTGACGGATCTTGTCCTAAAAATTGTAAAAATTTCTGAAGCGGTTGATAATGTTGTATTTGGAATATTTCGTTATTCTGTGTTTTGTTTGTCTGAAATGCTGCGTTATATTAAGCTTAGATTAAAATTTATCGAAAAGACTGTCTATCGTTAAACGAAAATATGTAATTAACTCAATGTAAATATCGTTAGCTGGGAAAAATCCATATTTATGTTAATCATGACACATACTGTTTCTCTTTCTCTTACTAGCCATGTTTCCAGGTTCCTGGAATAGCGACGTTTTAAATAATATGACATATGTGGTAACGAACGTTTCAACGAAACTGTCCTGTCACTAGTATGAAAGTTGTACTTTATAGATTGAGGGAAGAATTGGTGTTGGGCCGATCGAGCGAAATATAGGCAGCCGTGGCACATAACGGCACAGCTACTGTATCATTTCGATAATTAAATATCAATTGGGAATCCTTTGATTCCGGGGACAGCTGTGTATTATAACGTCGTTTTTAAACAATGACGTTGTAGGACAGCTCCGGCGTAGATAAGAAAATTACGGTACGGCGGTTTCTAGAGCGTTTACGTATTGTCCAGTAAATTGAAAATCCATGGATATTTTGAATTATTCAACACCACGTCCCGTTTTAATCAGGTGTTCGTTGGAAGATCTGTGAGCGCGACAAAGGGTTTAATGTGCCTTGGTTTCAATTTGACCGTCCCCTTAGAGATATTAGAGATCACAGAGAATTGCCGAACGTTGTTTAATCAGAACCTTTTGAATTCTTAAACAAAAAATAATGCATGCTTGTTATGCAGGATTGTCGAATAGCTATAGTTGTCTCGACGATTCGGGGCAAGTGTTCTTTAGGGCAGGGATATCGAACTTCCTTCCCCCCGGAGAGCCAGAACTCGTGCGGAGGAAGTCAGCCGGTTCCTCCACTTCTTTTCCTCCAGGAGTTGCACGAGTCCCGCTACATATTTATGGCTCTGGTGTCAGCTACAAACAAGGGACTTGTGTACATGTGTATATGTAGTAGTGACTAGTTTGTTGATGGTGTGGCTCGTGCGACACCCGGAGGAGATGTTCATTAGAATGAATTAGGTATGGAGGGGGCAGTTCCCCAACGGTTCTGTGGAGCAGGCAAAGAGGAGAAGGACTTGGGTCGCGAGCTGTCAGTTCGACACTCTTGCTTTAGGGAATTCTTATTCGTAAGTCTCGTGTTCTACTGAAATAACGTTTCATTGTTCTACCTGTTTTTGGAAACATTGACGAGTGTAGATTCTGATAAGGTTACATTTATTTTTTGACTCATTTTAAACGTGTATTCTACATCCATTACCTCTTAGCTACTGAACGCCACTGTAGTAGCTTTCGCGTAGGTTATCTTTTCGAACAGTATGCCCCTATAGTGGCTTTCGCTTATGTCATCTTTTTGAACGGTTTGCCACTATAGTGGTTTTCGCGTGTGTCATCTTTTTGAACGGTATTATTAACGTATACGTGTTCATATTATTTTATTATGTTTTTTTTTTTCAAACTCTTTACATGAAAATGTGTAAATAAATTATAATTTATTCATCTGTAACTCTATTCTAATGTAATTTCACAGTGGAACTACATTATTTACGCGCATTCCGCGTCAAACCGAGCCGTACAGAGATACAGCGCCGTGGAAAGTCCAGCCGTAGCTAAGAGGTTAGGCAACAAGATTAAGGAAAAAGGTGTAGCATAATATATAAAATGTTCAAACTTAACAACATGTTAAAAATATATAGATTCGTTTAGAATACGATAGTCAATTTACTATGTATATTCGCTCTGTTTTGAAGTTCTGGGGTAAGTGCCGCATTGTTTTTCACAGTTGGATGATTCCACGCTAAATCGATCGCTTTTTAACGTCGACGTCAGGGATTTTGTTCCAAATGAAATATAATGTAGCACACGTGAAATTAGAGGGTGGTTATTTGGAATTTGTTTAAAAAATATGAACCATTTTTATGAAAACATGCTGTGCCTATTAATTTTTATCTCGGAAACTATTGGTCAAATTAAGCTCACTTTTCTTTTGTTTTAATCCAGAAGGATGGCCCTATTGTAATAATATTTTTGTTATTTGAACAATTGATTTTACAATACTGAAAATTATAAACAAATTCAAGACGGTTCTATTAGTAACTTCTCTATACACAGTTTCAATGTATAATACCGAAATTTTTTTATCAATATCTCGGAAACTAATGATTGGCTGAAGCTAATATTTTATATTTGGTGTCCACTCCCTCCTCCTCCCCAACCCCACCAAAATTTCGCGTCGTTCGACCACCCGGGCCTTTCGGAACTTTATACATATTTCCTGTTGATATTGACTTTGGACCATATTGAAGGTAAGTACATGGGGTACGAACGGTACAGGCAACCGACCGTAAACACCTAATAGCAGAGCGCGCGGCTGGCTTATCCAAAACGGGGGTACACCAGTTCTTTTCCACCTCCTTCTGACGCTAATTTTAAACTTTCCATCCTACGAAAGGGCTCGTTCTGTAGATAGAATTTCAAGAAATGTGACCATATTTTCTTTTTTTAATTCGAACACCTCTAGCCCATCAAAGAGTAATTTACAAAATAAGAATTTGCTTATAATTTTCAGCATTATAAAATCAATTCTTCAAATAACACAAATATTATTACAACAGGGCTAACCTTCTAGATTAAAAGAAAGAAAAAGTTTCCGAGATAAAAATTGATAAGCACAGCACGTTTTCATAAAAATCGTCTATATTTTTTAAGCAAATTTGAAACCAGCTAAATGATAACTTAACCACCCCCTAATTTCACGTGTACTACATTATATTTCATTTGGAACAAAATCCATGGTGTAGACGTTAAAAAGTGATCAATTTGACGTGAAATCATCCTTATAAAAAATTGGAGTAAAGGAGCTGAAAGGAGCTGACGATAAGAAACATTATATCCAGCATCAGTCCAGTTATATTTTCGGTTAATCCATGAACAACGGTCAACATAATCAGGTTTCAGTATTGTTCGTGAACGATTATTCCCTGAGCGATAACAACATCGTGCAGTATGATATGCACGTTTTGAAAGTCTTGAAATTAAAACACAGCGATGATCGATGATTCTATAGTTCCAATGTACCAATTTCATATTAATTTTACATACACGGTATAATATACACGGTTTGCTAGCTCTCTGTTGCATTACTTGAAGTATTTTCTTAGCTTCCATTCCGTTATTGTACCATTTGGAGGAGTATCTATTACGAGAATGAATAAATATCGAATTTGAATTATTGAAATTTGCTCCACACGCTTTCCGACACTATACAATTCTCACGATCGCTATTAAAATGATTAAAAACGAAAATCACAAATCATTGAACAATACATCTTCCATTTTTAATCCAGCATACCTTATACGACTGTATTTTATTTGTTGAACACATTTTGAAAGTCGGTATAAATTTGCATAATAAAAACGTTCATGTCGTTTGACAGCTCCACACAATGATCTATAAGCACCTGTCCAGGTATACTGATGATGAACAGGTGAATTTGCTTAGCCCCCCAGACCGTAGCGTTTCTCAAAGCTACTGTCGGATCGTCTATATTCCCCACTGTCTGGAAAACAAATGAAGTATCATTGTTATTATTATAAATGAAATTATGAAATTTTTTTTGGACCGATTCGAAGCTGAGTTTCTATCATAAAACGATCTATTGGAGTAGAAGTTTTGTTCTAGTGACATTGATAAATAGAAGAACGCGAAGAAAAGTCTGGTGAAAAGATTTTCTGCGGTATCTTAAAAGCAACGTCAATTCTAATTTTGGCACACACTTTGTATTACTGTCCCCTTATCGTCAATCTTATCTATCACAATACATATAATCTTATCTAGCTTTTTAGCTAATGCCTGGTAATATCAACTTCTTCATCTTTATTCCAATGCACATATTTTCATCCTCTATTCTAAATCTTTTTAAAATTCACACACCCGATTCTCAGTGAAAGAGTAACAACAATTTTATCCTAATAATAGCTTTTATATTTGTAGCACGTAAGAGTGTGAAGATTATGTCTACATGAATGATATATTTTGAATTCCTTGCCGTGTCTTAAATTTTGGATCGAAGAATTTGGTCCACCATTCAACAAAATTATTCTTACTTGAACAGCTGACACACTAAGGCCCACTATGTTTAATCCAACTTGAAACAAGTAACTGAGCACACTGCTTTTCTGCAGAACATTGTAACACCTGAAAGCATGACAAAGGAGCGAATCACCTTAATTCAACAAACATTTATTACACCATTACGTTTCATTGTTATTTTATTACTACACACTCAATAGCTTCGTTGTGTGTGTCGACGCATCGTTTGAATTTTTCGTAAATTTCGTCTTCTAAATTCTTTCCCACAATTAAATCATTACTCTGTATCTATTTGTAAATAGTATCTATTTTTGACATACTTTCCATTTCTGTTCTCATTTACGAAACGAAAAATTGTATCTCAAGAACTTTTCTAAACACCTCAATTCTATCAATACTTATTTCTCTATTATCTATTAATAATTATATTTTCTTCGTTTATGTTACAGGTATGTTTGAATATTTACCCAGCCACAGCAAACAGACCGCTGGTATGATGAATAAGAAGGACGTATATCAATTCTGAGCTAAGCACAGATATCCCAAGAGTGATAGTTGTCCAAGACAAGTGAAAATATGTGATCAGAGCTTGTTCATCCCTGTCAATGATCAGGTAATTAACTTTGAATATTTTCTGGCGTGCTCGGGTTTCGTTTAAAGGTTTTAAAATGTCCAGAAGAGGAGGAAAAATCGGAACCACCAGAAAAATGAACAAAACGGAAAATAAAACGACTGAAATGTAATATATGTAATCGATCATTTATTCATTTTTCAATATTTTCCTTAAATTCAGTCTTAATGAAAGAAACAAACGATACTCGCTTCTGTACAATTGTACAAATTTGCTCCCTTGGGCGGTAACTTCTTCCAGCACGCTTAACTCGTTACTGATCCTCAACTCTTCCCATTTTTCCACCACAGAAATGCATAAATTTTTAAACTATAACGTAACATTGTTTCTCTTTCATTTATACTATCGATGTAAATTAATGTGTTTGTTTCTTTTTCTTATTATAATACATTGTACACGTACATACTGTCTGTGTGCATAGACATTAACGAGTTTAATAATGGCGGTTATAGTTGCTGTTATAGATACCAGAACCTCGATCGTTGCGTTTCTGTTCTTCTCGCGCACAGATATGTACGTAAAGTTCGAATATCTATTGGACCACATGTCGTACTGATTACTCATCAGTATTTATTATGTAATTGTTTAGCAATGTCGTTAATATTTAAATACACCAGTTGAAGTGAAAATTTTGGTAACAGGTTCTATTGTTATTTCTCTTACCGCTGGTACCACCATGCTCATCAGAGAACATATGGTCACGATTAGGATAGTGTTGTTTATTTTATTTCCATCCACTCCACAAAACATCGTGTATTTTCTAATGTCTCTGTAATAGAAAATGTTACATACCTCCCTAGGTGCCCTTCCACTTTTCTGCAACACTGAACGTTTTTATGAAAAATACAAAAAAGAAAGATTTAACGTCGCATGCGTTACTACTTTTCGATAGAATTATTGGAACAATGAAAAAATGGAAAACTGTGAAATTTTAATAAATATAAAAATCGATAACAAGTATAATGCCTTCATACAACTAAAGTCTGTCGAGAGTTTCAAAGTTGTTTTTTATAAAGCAAAACTAAAAGGCAACATTAAATTAGTATAATGCAATCATGTAATTTACATAACGATTGTATGACTACTACATCAACGATTGTGAAATAAGTACCTGTCAGTTGGCAGTCAGCTGTGGTAGAAATCGAAACACCATAATTAGCTTGAAATATTTAGTATGACATTTACTATGTAACGTTTGCTGTTCTGTTTAATAATGGATAAAGTTTTTCGAAACAATTGCTTGTCGATGTCCTTTCCATCGTCGAAAGTAGGAATTGAAAACAATTGTAATATCGGGCCCGGATCTTTAAACGGTTACAAAGAATCTTTATTCTAAATAACTTCTACAAGGAACAGATACATATGTACATTTTCTTCGATCACGGTTCTCAAATCAATTCGTCATTTTATCGGTTTTATATTTATTCGAAAATGATTCTGAAATCGAATCTCGTATCGACTTTACAGTAATTGAAATTGCTAGATGAAGATTGCTAGCATTGCGGTTGTAGATTACTACATATAACTTTTACGAAATCGTGGAAATAAATTGTTTTTAAATATAATCGACAAAGGAAATTTTTCTTATATTTTCCGTTTCATAATATCGTTTCTGTTTAACTTTCGACTGATACGAGGCATCAGAATTGTACCGCTTAACGGCTTAACAGGGTCGCTACCACCGACGCAGCATATGCGGTCGAAGACGTAGACTTATTGGCACTAGCGTGCTATTGATTTTTTGGTGACAGTGTTAAGGTACGTGTGCATTTGAGAGTAAAAGTATCGCGAGTTGCTCTCGAGAGTGAAATTTATCAATGTATATAAATACACGGTAGTGAAAGTGCTAACGGAGAGCTGGACACACGATTTGAAAGTACTCTCGAGAGTAACTATCGTAACAAATTCTCAAATGGACATGTACACTTAACACGTTCACTGCCGAACCGCATATGCTGCGTCGGTGGCAGCGAACGTGTTAAACGCAGAGGTGACGTGTGCGTATGCAGAGTGTGCTCAGATTACGAATCGGTGGTACGTAGCGTGTTCTTTTTCGATTATTTAGTGGTGGCGAAAGTGTGAAGAAAACATTCTGAGGGATTCGTCACGTTTAAACTCCCCAGTAAATTGTGTAAAATCTCGATGACCCGATACAGTATCGATAAGAACCGATAGAATAACAGACTGTGGAATCAATATAGTCCAGATCATTTTTCACCTGTAACTGTTATAACGTTATTTCGAAATTAAAGATCGTAATGTTTCTCACGTGTGTAATCGTCTATTCATATCCATGGTGTTACGTTGAAAATAAATATGTACCAGAGGAATGTTAAGAAACATCGTTTCCATGTTCGACCAGTAAATCAAAGAACAAAATATGGTATCAGCATTATATTTTATAATCAATACATTACTAACATCTTTACACATGTAACATCGACAACACCATCTAAGACGCGTACAACACTTTCTTCTTTCTTTGTTTCGAAGATAGTGCAATTAACTGGACACAACTGTTTCGATAATGATTCAGTCTTTGAATGATAAGAGCATCGTAAAGTACGATATGCAGGTTTTGAAAGTCTTTAAAAAAGAAAAGAAAGAACGAATATTAATTAACCACTGATCGTATTATTATAAAGAAGTAATTATGTTAATTTTATATTAACACGTACTGATCCAAAATTCTCAATGTTCATTTCGTATAATCCTCCTGCTACCAATTTGCACGGTTTGCCAGACCTTATTTGTACTATATGAAGTATTTTTTGAATCCACACCGGTGTTTGATACCACATCGAGTTATATCTATTGGTAAAATTAGTAAAAAATATATTGAGTGGAACTGATTGAAAATTATAATGTACAAACTTAGCATACATGTCAATGGTCAACTTTGAACTTTGATCCGTGATGATCTGCCCTGGTACACTAATGACTAACAAGTGGAGTTGCTGAGCTATAAGGAAACAAGCAATTCTGGCAAATTCTTCAGGCCGATCTAGATTTATAAAGGCCTAACAAGAAATGTTAATAATGTAATTAATGTACTTGGTGTATCAACATTTCTTGTTGTTTACGAAACAATTCTTACTAGAACAGACGTCACGCTAATACCGATCATATTAAGTCCGACTTGAAACAAGTAACATGTGCTAGTGATTTCGTTTATGGTATCGAAAGAGCTGAAATCATGTATAAAAATAACGAACCTTAGAAATGTTTGTACTCGTTATTTCTTTTTTTTTTTTAACGACTAAATATTGTAACTGTATTTATCACTAACTTGAGAGCTCTGGCATGCATCATCAGACATTTTTTAATTTCTTCCATGGAATTTCCATTTATTCCGATAACATTATGTTCTGTTGTTTTTTTAATTTGATAGCTGTAATTTTGATAAATATTTCATCGAACGAAAGTTTTTTTCACTTATACGAAAGCAGGATAGAACAAAAATTATAATCGGTGGAAAGCAGTCGCAGAAGGAAAATTTCATTCTACTAGTATTTCACAGAAGTAACGTGATAAATGGAAATCTCGTAAAAATAATTCTTTTTTTCGAATTGTATAAATTTATAAATTTCTCGTATTTGCATTAACATACTCACCCGCAAACAGCGAATAAGCCACACGTGTGATGAATGATTACCACATATAACGCGTCTATAGTGATTATAACCATCATGGTCATGAACGAGCACCAGCCAGTGTAGACGTATAATGAATAAAAATTCTTCTCCATGTCGAACAGGTATTGCAATTTTATTACTTCTATCCGAGATCGAGTCTCATTAAGCGGTGAAACAACATCCAATATTGGCGGAATTAATGGAAATAATACGAATATTATCGAGAAATAGAACAAAGTACCTGAAAGAGAGACGAGTATAGTCGATGGAAGAAATATAGGGAGGCGGTAAAGTTGGTCAGGTGACAAAATTTACAATGATTGAGCATATAAACAAGCGAATCGACCGAAACCTGAGAAGATAAGGATCCTAAAGTCAGGACGTATAGTCGGTGGAACCGATACAGTGAGATCGTAAAATCAGTCAGACGTCAAAGTATACGTAATCCAAGCACCAAAACAGCAATTCGAGGGAGATAAAGAACTCGAATTTGTTCTTACATTGCAGTATATTTAAAAAATATGTGTGCACTTTAATCGTTGACAGCTGCAGATAGCTGTCTGTTGCAGCTCTTGATAGCAGCGACCACTACAGCGAAGACGGTTCTGTTAGTAACATCTGTATAGGCAGCATTCAATGTGTAAGTCACGTCTGTATACGCAGTTTCAATGTGTAGTACTGAAAATTTTTTGTTAATATCTCGGAAACTAATGATTGGCTGAAGCTAATATTTAATATGTGGGATTCACCCACCCTCCTCCCCTTTCTCACCAAATTTCGTATCGGTCGGCGACTGGGACCTTTCGGAACTACACCCAAAATTTTAAATATCAACTTACAAATAACTGGGTGTGGCTACATCAATGTGAGTCGCCGCGTAATGCTTTAATTTACGACCTCACTGTATCGCTTCGACCGACTATACGCCTTAGCTTTGATTCAGTTCTAATCGGAAAACGAAAAATATTTCTTCTACCGACTATAATTGACAATTAACGCGATCCACGCACACAGTGGAAGGTAAATGTTTGTACGTGAATGCAAAAGATTGTTGTATTCGGATATTAAAGTATAAAGAAAAAAATTACACTTTTTGTCGTCGTATGAAGAAAGTATCGAAACATTATAGCATGAAATATCTGTATCTCCCTAACGAAAGTTTTGTTTCTGCAAACTATCATAGATCATATGATTTATTATATATAAGTGACGATACCATATTATATGTACATATATGATAAATCATATAGGACGCGAAGAGTATGAAGATATCGCTCGATACAGAAATTTCTCGACAAAATAATATTAAAGTAGTTACTTCTGTATATATTGGTTAATTTACTTCCTCGTTTAGTGATTTCTTCGAGAATCTGCTGCTCGTCGAGACTTAACATATCCCATTCTTTCTTCATGATATCGTACAACTTGTCGAACTGCAACATAGTTTTGTTGTTCGTATTTTTTCTATGAACACGATAAGAATTTCTGGTAATTATTCACAATAGGGGAGGCAGCTTCGATGATCTTGATTTTGACATATGTTGTTAAGACCATTCTCCTGAGCAGCCTCCAAAAAGTTTTAGCCGTAGCTCGTTATTTATTAAAAAATTATTAACGAATAATTGTCGTTATCGCTACAGTGAATTCTGCCTATACGTGACCGCCGCTTATCTACTGTTTCTATAAACACATCGCGGCGGACTGCAACCAATATGTATAAACAATTAATGTAGCTGATGTTCTATTTGGCACTGGTACTACAAATAAGCTACCACTTTGTCGTTTTACACCCCCAAATAACCATTGGCCAGTAATCAATCTTCCTTTATAATATTTTCGCCGTCCGAATTTTGCTCCGTCTATCTCAACAGTAATCCCTGGACCGCCTAGCTGTTAACTATTGTCAGTCAACCATTGATTTAGTAACTATAAAACATGTATGTAATTCATTACGATTATCCTATTTAAAAAAGTATTCCATTCGAAAAAATTGACTTACAAACTCGTTTTAGATTTATCAACAATACTGGCTTCGCGGCAAAAATTGAAATATGCTCTTCACTTTCCAATAGTTTTTGTCGTAGGGAGTTTACCATTAAAAAATAACAAATAATGCGACATACTTTAATTTAAATTAAATTTAAATGTCCTTTATTAAGGACAAATGTTCCTATTAATGCAGTTAATTTAAAATTGCACGTCTTTCTTTATCTTTTGTATCCGCGTACTTGTACATAATATGTTTTAGTACAATGCATTAAAATTGTCTGGTTTCAATTGAATCTCTTCGCTGCATCGTGTACAAGTAATGTGGGTCCGGAGCACTTTTTTTGCATTTAAGTAATTTAATTTAATTTAATTTAATTTAATTTAATTTAATTTAATACAACTCTCTCCGTAGCTTTTTTCTAACTAACTCTCATCGAAACTGATCTTCACCGTCACTCTTTTCTTTTCCCACACATTTGTATTTACGCTACGCATAAGCTGCCGCGAACGCACAATTACAGGCAGAATTCGCTGTAGTGGTAACGACAGTTACTCGTTAATAACTTTTTCACGAATAACGAGCGACGGCTACAACTTTTTGGAGGTTGCTCAGGAGAATGCACTTAACAACATATGTCAAAATCAAGGTAATCGAAGCTGTCTCCCCTATTGTGAATAATTACAGAATTTCTGTAAATGTTCAAAGGTAAATACCTTTCCTTTATTGATGATATGATTCAGCAATTTTATTACACAAACCAATTCGGTGACTATTACAGGTACGGTTTCCATCGTTGCATCGATGTCCTTTACAATTATCGCTTCGAACATTTGTATAACCTATCGAATAGAAAATTATGATTATATCGTTGAATTGCTTTTATTATATTTCATATCGTTTTAAAAATCTCGTATATTAACAAACGTAGAGATTCTCAAAGTTTCATTTACCTGTAAAATTATGAGACTCGTATAGGTGCATACCATCAGGGTTTCATTAAATATTTCAGTCAATTTCGATTGATATGGATATTGTCCCAAGAATAGCATATTATTTTTAAACGATCCGTAATAAGGAAAGTCAAATATAGAACCTTCGTGTCTTTCCCTTTTCTGAAACACTGAACAATTTGTACACCATATATAATATCATTGTGATAAATAAATTAAATAACAAGTAATAGCTTTTCGTAGTAATAATATATTTATTTTGGCAATTACTAGACAATAATTACAAAATCGAGGAATCAATTATGTTTTATTATTATTACGGTAATAAATTTATCTTTGTCACGAATTCGCTTTGTTCTACATTGATAGCAATCAAATTTATGTCGTGAAATGAAATACGTTCGAGTTCGTTGCTTTTTCTTACTGTTTTCAAAATTTTCTTCCTTTAGGTACGGTGAAAATTGTAACTAACGCAACGTATACAACAGTAAATGCTTATCAGATGCTAGTCTACTGAAAATGTTCTAGAAAAATGATTATAAATATAAGAGGAATGCAATATGGTGATATTAATTTTTAACGAATAATGATAATACTAGTGCATTTGTTGTATGGACAAAGGTATAAGTAGGTATATGTAAGTAGTATGTTTTTCCCTTCCTTTAACGTCAACCACCACAGTGCATCGTTTGATCGGTTGACAGGTATGCATTACGGTACGGTTTTTGTATTAACAGATTGGTTGAAATGTATCATGTGCGTAAGAAACTGGTGTTCTTGTGTTTGCATGTCTTTGTACTGAATTGCAAATCGACGTTCGAAGTTATATTTAACAACTGACAGAAATCCTTTTATCAATGAATATTTCATTTGGTTAGGAAATTGGTTCATGGAATACACCAAGACAAATTACAAGTCCGTAGTTGCAGAACAATCAAATGGTACTGCAAAATTTCATTTCTTTTTATAACAATAAAAATTAGAAATTTAAAAAGAATAATAAATGAAATAAGTAATCTGAAATAATATAACAAGAATACTAAATCTAATAAAAATTAAAAATCTAAACGAATAGTCCTAAATTTTTTAATAACAACATAACAGGATGAAAAATATTACTTCAATATCTTTGAGATTCTTCGTACTTTATTTTAGAAGAACTTTGCTTTCTTTTACATAGCCAATTTCTATTATAGGAGAGGCATTATATGTATATGATATTGAAACTTTATGTACGATACATTGTTAGAATATTTAAATATTCCCACAGTTTTCGTTTTACATTACCCGCAGAAGATGTCACTGTGATATCGCATAACAACTGTACTCTTAACATGTTGCGAGTTACCTATCCAGTATCGAACTCTGCATTGCAAGTTATAAACGTACTCGGGGGTTTGTTGTTCGCTTGCTCGGTGTGTTGTATGTGTTTATATTGGTTTTTTGTGTAAAAACTTCTAAATTTTCACAATGAGTGCAGAGGAAGAAGTACTGCGGATTCAGAAAAAATTAAACAAGATGTCGAGCGGCGACGGGACGGTGAGTAAGTGAGTAAAATATAGTTGTGTACCGCTCGGCACATTGGTGGCTGTTCATCATGAACAAAGCTATTTTTCGATTTAAAACATGATTATATTGATACAGTGCATATATACAAAGGGTATAATTTTTTATCGTTTGAAATTTTTATTTGAGATATAAGTTCATACGTTACAATTTTTGTATGCACGATATTCGGTACTAACTAAAACATTACAACGAATTATAGGGCTTTAATATCTAACATACTAATTGCAATGCGTTCATAGAGCTTTATAAAGCTTAAACCAGTTCTCATTGTAAAATTTCTTAAAGTGCGTGCTGTAGATTTTCTTATTCGAGCAAGCATCGAACCCGCGTTAATACTTATAATTACGTTAATTTAATGCTTACTTAGATGTATACAGTGATTAATTGCACATTTCTATTGTTTACACCAAATGCTGTCTAAAAAAAATGATCTGTTATTTGTATAAGTTGTATCATTGAATGAGGTTGACTATGTGTTTTGATAATAAAGATGCATAATAATAATGCATTAAATTACATAAGAAATGATGATATAACAAAATCAAGTAGTTTCTTTCAGTTTAAATTAATTATATTAGTCTGAAGATTGAGCAAATTATATAAATATCAAACATATATAATTTACATTAGAAAATATAAATATTCCATGTGTATTTTATATTTATATTGAATCCAAATATTTTTATTACAGGGGCAAGAACAAGCATTAGAATTACTTAAAATATTGCAAAAGTTGCCTGTTGATTTAGAACTTTTGACCAAGACGCGTATTGGGATGACAGTGAATGCATTGAGAAAATCAAGCAGAGATGAAGAAGTTATATCACTATCCAAAACTCTTATTAAAAATTGGAAGAAATTCTTATCTGGTAAGAAAGTAATTTTATTTAAGTAGAATTTATAATAGGTAATTATATAACTTAAAATTATGTATTGTGTTCTTTCATTTAGGGTCCAATAAAGAAAAGGATTCTACTTCTTCAAGTAGTTCTAAGAAAAAAGATGATAAATCAGAGAAAAACAAAGATGATGGAGATCAAAAGAAAGATAAAGATAATGCAGATGGAAGTGATGTTAAAATGAAAGAAGAAAAGCCTCATAAAGATATTCAAAGAAAACAGTCTACGTTCCCTGCTCCTACCACAACAGATGCTGTAAGACTTAAATGCAGAGAGCTTCTAGTTTCAGCTTTAAGAGTAGATGGAAGTACAATTGACGGCTGTGCTAGTCCAGAAGAATTGGCAGAAGAATTGGAGGAAGCAATTTATGCAGAATTCAAAAATACTGATAACAGATATAAAAACAGGGTAAGTTTTAAACTGTTCTATGACTTTATATTCTACTATAAATACAAAATCTAATCATCTATATTTATTTATGCAGGTACGAAGCAGAGTAGCTAATTTACGTGATGCAAAGAATCCTAATCTTCGAACTAATTTTATTGCTGGTGCTATAACACCTGCTAGACTTGCTGTTATGACTGCAGAAGAAATGGCAAGCGACGAAATAAAACAGTTAAGAGAACAATTTAAAAAGGAGGCAATTAATGATGCACAACTTGCTACAGTGCAAGGAACAAAAACTGATCTATTAAAATGTGGAAAATGTAAAAAACGCAATTGCACTTACAATCAAGTGCAAACGCGTTCAGCTGATGAACCTATGACTACTTTCGTGTTATGCAACGAATGCGGAAACCGATGGAAGTTTTGCTAAATATTGAGTGCTAAATATCTGATTGCAATGGAGAGGAAAATGTATTTCGTTCAAGACCTACCTATTAAGCAATACTTATTACAGTTAATGAGACGTCATTGAAAATATATTGCATAAAATTTATGATTCACAAACTGTACATTGGTCGCTTAATGGTGTTTTTAATCTCTTCACAAATTTACAAGTATTCAGTTTTCATTCTATTGTATATATTGAAATTGTGATTTAGTAGGCCTGAACTATATAGAATTTAAATCATGTTGAAAAAAAAATTTGGTGAATTAAATGGATTAAATGATACTTTTTATTATTTTAAATACAGCACCAGTGCTGTTGAAAAACTCTGACATGCGAATAACGATAAAATTAAAATGTTTCGTTTTGCATTGTACGAGTTTGCATAATATCTTATCTGTGAAAAAATTCGAAATTGTGGGTACAGTTCTGAAATACATGTATGTAATTACAATGTAGTATTTTTGGAACCCTTTTTGACAATATAAAAGTCAAAATTTCATACTTAAAGATGAACGTAATATATATTTTGATTGTAAAAGTTTCGTTATTATTTAAACTACAGAAGTTTCTACTTGATAGTTCGAACAATTTATACAACTTAGTAAATTAAATAACAATTGTATTTTATATTTTTTTTCTATCGATTTTATCGTAAACTTGATAGCTTTGCAAATCACCGTCGGGGGCCGCCACTACTATTCGATGCTTCCAGCAATTTAGATTTTACGGTTCACGTACTTGGGCGTATACGCTAATTTCTAACCTAATATCAATGTTACTTGTGTTACTTGACATTTATGTAGTACATACTTTTAAATCATTTATGATTTGTTAGTAAGATTATGCAAAGAAATGAAGTTACGTGGTTTCACGTGTGTTAAAAGATAGCGTATACTTAATACAGTAAAATTCATCGTAATGATGTAACGTCAAAATGCAATATTTCGAAGCTAAGAGCAGATTCGATAAATACCCACGATAGCACAAGCATCGTTTTTTAATATCGATAGATAACATTTGCATAGTATACAACGATCGTTGATTTCTCTACAGTATTCTATGATGCAACGAAAAGTAATTTGTTAAAGAGCGGATTAAAATAGACAGTGAATGATTTCTAATCATCAGTATGTGCGAAGACGTCCATATCAAAGAGCAATGGCAACTTTTACAAAGTCTTCGAAATACCGTAGAAGGTTTATTAGTCGATGGTGTTTCAAATGTATGGAACGTTTATGGTGGTTTAAATCGCCTTCATAACGTAATGGAACGGATATTCAAACATGGGTGTCGAATATTTAATCAAAATGTAAGATACATTCTGCATATTGTTTTCCTTCATTATTTTCACATACACGTTTCGTATTATCACATAATTTACTTATGTTTGTAACTATACTTCATCATATTTTGTTTTTCTTTCTCTTTCTTACAATTGAAGTTTTTTGTTAAAGCATAGTAAGATTCTGTGTTCTGTTATGATTGTTTGTTTACATTGGCAGTAACATTGCTTTCTTTGGTCTTTATTGAAAATGTTTTATTATTTACCTTCTTTATATCAAGAACATTTTTAATATTTGTATTCAGTATCAGTCTATTTCTATATTATTTATACAAAGGAAAGAAGAATGTAATATTAATATTGAAAGAAATGAAAAATAATAAAATTTATTACAAGGGAGAACCAGATTGTTGGATCTTTATTCAAGGATTAAATTGGCTACAACCTTTAGCACTGTCACCTGTTGATTCTGAAACTGAAGATTATCATTCAAATGTACCAACTAGAATAACATCACAAAAAGATATGTTATGGTTGTATGAAAGGTAATCAACAATAAATTTATCTATTAAATTTCTAGAATCCTTTAAATATCTATTCATTTGTAAACACAATTAGATATTCAAAGTTACTCAATATAATTTAATAATTATTGCAATGTAGTTTGGAAAATCATTCTTTGTCACATAAGCTTTCATGGCTTTTGTCTGATAAGGAACATTTACTTTATTGTTTTGAACCATGGGCATTTTTGTGTCAAGAGAACTTAGCTGAAACCACATTATTATGTCTAAGAGCAGTTGAGAAAAATCAACCTGTACTACTCACAGAAATTGATCCATCTTTAGTAAGTTTAAATAAAATCATATTTCTATTTGTATGGCTAATATATTTTAACTTTCAATTGAATATTTTCATTTTTAGTTTCTACCATGTTGGATGTCTTCAAAATCAAGTCCAAAAAAACATCATCGGTCGTCTTCATATCCAATTAATTTTCCAACCACAAATTTTAGTGTGGTACAAGATAAGGCTATACATATAGAAAAATGTCAATTAGAATCTCTAAAAATATCATCAGATAAAGTTGTTAAACATCATGATATTAGGTCTGAAGAAAAACATCAACATCAAACTTACAATTCTAAAGAAATTAGTGATATACCTTTGAAAACTTGGAACAGTCTGTCAGCATTGACTAAAAGCTGTATAGCTTCAGAGGAAAATGCTTCTGCATCTTCATCATGTGTTACAGATATTAATTCATTCAAAAATAATAATTCCCAAACCTCCCCTGTACCATTATCAGAAATAATTAATGTAAATTATGCTAAATTAAAACATTCAACATCTACAGAAATGGATAATAAATTGCTTGCAAAATCAAGAACATCAGTAAGGAAAATGAAAAGTAAAGTTAAAATTAAACAAAATCAAATTAATAAGAAATCTAGTGAAGATTCTGATGTATTCTGTTACGAAGATATATCAATAAATGACACTGATACGAGTACATGTAATGCAAATTCCATGGAGATTAATGCTTCTGAAAAGCCAAGGAGGAAGACTTCATTCTTGGCAGGATCAGCACCTGAATTCACTGGTCCATGGAGTTTAGAGGGTCAGAAAGACATAAGAACACCAAAGAAAAGTTTTATGGAGGATGGAGGAAGTAGCGTTCAACCTATGGCAATAGGATATTTTCCGCGTCCAACAGAAGGTCAAAGTTTAACTAGTTTTCTAGCTTCTGCACAATTTTCTAGAGCTAATGCTGAATTGGATAGGGAAAACGCACACTTCAGTGTTTCTGAAGCTATGATAGCTGCCATTGAGCAAGTTAAATGTAACAGACAATGGCGCCTTATGGAAGATACTGCCGAGGAAAGTGATGAAGAAATAAATAGTCTAAAACAGAGGATACGATTGAGATTGAGTGATGGAAAAACAGATACAACAACCACAGATCAAAGTGTTAGTCCATTATCAACTTCATCGGATACTTCGTCTGAAAATATTTTTACAGATATAGAGGATCTAGAAGTGGATGACGAGCGAAACGCATTAAAACTCAAGAACGCCGGAATTTCTATATCTATGGCATCTTTATATTCAGGTGCACATTTGTATCAATCATCTCCTGGACATGGAACGGAATCAACACGGACGGAAAGTAGTATGTCCGCAGAAGGTGTAGCTTTGTCACTTCTTAGTAGGTTTAGCGAAAAACAATTACCGAGAGCGAGTGAATTGCAATGGCTCGTTTCTGAAAAAGATGCACCACAAAGATTGTTACCATTACCAAAAAGTTGGCCAATTAATCCAGATGATGTAAAAAATTCACAATCAATTCCGTTGCGTGGGACCATGGAATGGGCTCCACCAAGGCCTCAAATTATTTTCACATCACATCCTCCACCAGTGTAAGTTTGTGCGTTTAAAAAATATTACGTATATCATATAACTATTGAAATAATCATAGTATGTTCTACATGTAGGCGGCGAACTCTTATAGCTAAGCAGAATTATAGGTGTGCGGGATGTGGAATGAAAGTTGCAGTAAAATATGCAAATAAATTTCGTTATTGTGAGTATATAGGTAGATATTTCTGTACTGGATGCCATACTAATCAAGTGTCATTGATACCTGGGAAAATTTTATCTAAATGGGATTTTAACAGGTATAAAATTCAATAAGACCATGTGTAATGTATGAAACTGCAAACAAAATGATCTTACTTATTTATAATTTTTTTATTCAGATATTCTGTATCAAACTTTTCATACAGATTATTGGATCAGATGATGTCAGATCCATTATTTCAAATAAATGACTTAAATTCATCATTGTATAGACGCATAAAACAATTAGACAGGACAAGACTATTACGTACACAATTATTTTTCTTTAAAGATTTTTTATTTACATGTCGATTTGCGACAAGGTATACATTTCAATAATCTTTTTCAAATTATTATAAATTATAATGTTCTAAAATTATTTACTTCTTTTAGTGTTCAAGAAACATTGAAAAAGGAACAAAATTATATAATAAGTGAACCTCATGTGTATTCCATTCAAGATTTAATACTTGTCAAGTATGGTATTCTGCCAATGAGATTACAGGAATTAGTTCAAGTGTGCAATATGCATATTATAGGCTGTGAGGTAATGCTATAAATACTCTTTTTATATTTTTTAATAAAAACATATTTTTCTTTATTTTAGTTATGCCAAGCTAGAGGATTTGCATGTGAGCTATGTCATTTCAAAGATGTCATATTTCCATGGGAATTCTCAAAAGTTAGTAGGTGTGAAGTGTGTGGTGCTTGTTTTCATAACAAATGTAAGCAAAAGTTTAATAAAGCGGATTGTCCACGTTGTATTCGCTTACATGATAGACGAATATCTAGAGAAGAACAATTTTGACACACGATAAAGTTATCCTATGTTATATCTTTGTCTATAAATACCGAATTTATGATTTAAATGAAATTTAAATCGTTTGTATAAACCAGATGTTCCAAAATTGTATTTAGATTTCTATTTATTATATATAGCGTCAACCTGCTAGTAAATTTAAACTAATTAGAAATCTGTATATTGTTATTTATATGCTAAAGCACAGATGACATTTTAATTAAAAAAATTTAATGT